CTATGTAGCTTCGTCATCACCAGCGTTGTACATGGATGGCTCCCCCTTCTACCTATGCGACCTGCCGTTGGAGGCAAGGGGGTATCTTCACGATCCTGTGCAGACATGGCAACCAGAGGGGGACCTGCATGTTTGGAAGTGGCGATGTAACTTGTTGTCATGTCTGGACCTGCATACGGATATTCTGAACCGCCGAGAGAGAGAGAGAGAGAGAGGCAGTGGTATTCGTTGTATAGCTTTGTCATCGCCGACGTTATACATGAAAATTCAACAGCGATGGAAATCGAGAGGCATAAGGCCTCATTTGCACTGCTGAAAAAAAAAAAAAAAAAAAAAAAAAAAAAAAAAAAAAAAAGAGCTGGTTAGTGATCGCCGCTTACCTGGCGCTGGCGACATTATTACTTGGTGCGCTGACGATGCTTCATGTGCAGTAAGGATATTTTGGCGCTGGCATTAGAGAGCGGGGCCCAGGTAGAGGGGCCGGCCACTGGAAGGCTGTCGCGACAGCGTGGGAGCTGTGGCGACAGGGGATGCTGACGTGGCATTTTGGCTGAGGTGGCACTGCATCGCGTTGTGGGTGGTACCGAGGCTATCCGCCGGTCATCGAAATGCAGGTCGGCCCAATTGGTGAGAAAGTTGTGGTTGGGGGCAGCTACCTCCTGGTACGTTGTTCCCATTCCTTATCTACCCTCTCAATCTCTTCTTACCATGAGGAAGTGAGTCCAACCTTGAGTGTCCTCTATTTGGTGAGGAGTTGTGTGCGCTCTATCTTGAGAGACGATATTCTTCCCGGTGGCCCATCTGGCAGGAGAGGGTGGTGCCTCTAAAGGGCCCTGGTCGAAGCACTGGTCACGGTCACCATGCCAACCCATGGAAGTAGTACACGCAGGGCATGCTGCTTTTTCCTTTGAGGCTCCACTGCCTGCGATCGTCGTCCTGATTGCGACGTTAAATAATTCCTGAGGACTCTCAGGGGCTGTCCTTAAATTGCCTCTTGATCAGCCAGATCAGTCAGACGTAAGGCTCGTTGCACGTTGTCCGGCGGCTCAAGCCTTGTGCCGCCCTTTACTTCCTTAAGATATATGGTTGGCGGGAATCAAGTTCAATCACTATGGCCAACTCGGACACTGTTCCCTCTAAAGATTTGACGACGAGGCGAACTATGAGGGAGATATCGAGGCCGAAAGGTCGGACGAACGCGGTCCGCCGATCTAAGGGGAGCTTACTTAAAAGACTTCAAGAATTTTTGCTGACGAACAAAGTCAGATAATCGTGCCAAAAGGACAAGCCCGGAACGGTCGGGCGGAATGGCGAGAAAGAGGGATGGGCGATATGTCGATCAAGAAGGGTCGCCCGACTCTTATGGTAAGCATCCGGACAAACTTAGGGTTGTCGGCCGTGGGAAATTGGTGCGCGGCCAGAGCCTGAGAAAACTGTTGAGCCAGCGTTAATTGGACCGCAGGATTTGGACTGCAAAATGGACGGCCGCTGAAGGGCCGGACCTAGAGCTAAAAGCTGATGTTTAAAGGGGGACCTACAATTTTCGGTACTGGCCTCCGCATTTTTCGAGATGGGGCCTTGTTAATTTCTGTGTGGGGCCTTTCGGATAGGCCGGAGTGAGGCTCGGGCGTAGGCCCGGTACCGGTGTGCAGCAAATTCGTGGGACTCGACAAAAAGGCCCACTTGGTTCTGCATGTGTCCCTTCGGGCCCCA